ATATATATATATATATATATGTATTGTTATTAATTTATTGCTATGCAACACCACAGAATCAAATTCATTACTAGAATGCGGATTTTTATGTGTACAATAATATGCAAAAATATTCAAATTAGAGTTTGTATTAGATTAGCATTATAATATTAGCATAAAATATTCGTTATAATAGAAACAAATTTCTATCTTTTTCACTGTGTTAATGAAAGTTCAAAAAATGTATATAAATTTACAGTCTATTGTGCAGATTTGTACATTTGTAGGAAATTTAAAAATGCTAACATAGAAAAATATATGAAATATACAAAGTAGAATATTTATTGTAATACTTAGCAGAAGAAACAAATTTCTATATAAAAAAAATTTCTTCAATTATATTTATTAAAATTTAAAAATCCACAGTCTATTCAACACGGAAATACTTTCAGTGAACATCCTTGCATCTTCATCTGCCAGCAATTCATTCAACTTGAATCCAAAATATTTGGAGCCTTTGGAGTTTAAATCTATGTATTCATTCTTGATCACCACATTGTGATTTGAATTAAATTTCTTTTAGAAGTTCAATGTATTCAGTAAAATAATGGAGATACAAAGTATATGATATTACATCAAGGAAAATATTTATAAGTTACCTAGGCAGAGAAAACATAAATGTATACACTCCGATTCAAAAATTTGGAGCACATTAAGATTTCAAAAGAAACAACTTCTCCTAGTAAATAAATATTTTATTCATAATATTATCTTTCTATTTCTTTTAATTAATTATATTTAAAAATCAACGTTATGTTTATAATGCTCTTGTTCCTGAGAGAAATGTACAAAGAAGTTTGTTCCAAAAATAAAAGGTGCTTCAAATTTTTGAACGTATAATACATGCATTACTGTACTATTATACGTATTGTTATTATATATTATTACACTTATAATATAACATATTATATCGCCTTGCCTTATGATCGCTTTTAGAAACCTAACTTATTTCTTTATTGAAAACTTCTAACAAACTTTATTTCATTTAATATTTCAATTATAAATCGTATATAATATAATGTAAATGAAGTATGTAATACATTTGCTAGTGGAATTTAATACGATTACCTTGCGTTGTTCAAGCTTATTTCGGGGGAAAGCGTTCAACATGCTACCGGAAGTCGAGGCCCAACTAAAGTCAGACACCGGTAAACCATGCGCTTTTGCCTGCAACTCTAATTCTTGAACTCGTAAAAGGAGTCGACGATTCTGATGTTCCAGTTGCTTGTGTCTGAGCTCGTTCTGCTTCATCCTTGTCAACTCGTTTTTTAACAACTTTATGTACTCGACCGACGACTTGAGTATCGTGCCCTTGTTCGGTCTCACATCTCGAACGATTTCGTAATACCTGAAACAGAAATCAGAATTAGTTAATAAGATCTAAACGGTGTTTCTATTATATTATTATTGATCCCTGATCTATCGTTTAATTAATTTAAATATTATGTGAATATCTTCATTATTATTTTATTATTTTAATTACTTTCAAATACTTTATTCAACAAATATTTCCTCAAACAAAACTAACTATTCGATGATATACATTTATCACTTCACCTTGAGAGAAACTGTCTATAATTTTGTCGCAATTAACAAGTGCTTTTGTCATTTTGTAAGTACTAAAATTTTAAACGATAACTTTAAAAGAAAAGAAAGTATTCTTTGTTGAAACACAGATTTACAGTGACAGACAGAAGGAAGATAATAATTTTATAAAATGGAATTACATTGAAATTAATGAATAGATATAATGTACATCGCAAAATAGATAATTGCTATTAATATTGTAAAAGAATGTCTAATATACGTGTTATAATATTAATAATATAATACATATAGTCAAATATTAATTTTAAACTTTCTTTTATCCGCCACTGATCTTACATACTGTATTTTATCATTCATAACTCAATATCTTATTCATAGATAAAAGGTAAAAAATATTACAAGTAATATTGTACGATAATACTTTGAGTTGTTATTATAATTATAATTATAATATTGAAGCAAAATTCATAAAGAAGAAATTTCACTGATGATAGCTATGAAAAAGATCAACTTTCAAACCTTTGAACTTGACTACGTGAAAGTGAGTCGTGAGAAAGTATAATACGAATCGAAAAATACTTAAACATGTCAGTCAAAAGATAGTCGACGATGAGAGAATCTGAGAAAACAGGGTCGTATCAGAATGTTTGCCATTGTAATTAGACTGGTTTCGTTATCGAGGTGAGACTCGAGATACAGTAACTTCGTTTACTCGCAGTTCCGTACATCTTTCTTTCGTGCCAACCTTGGAAAGAGGTGGTACTTCGGTAGACAACCGTACCAGGTATTGCTCGTTATTTTCTTTTTCGCAAATTTATTACGCAACGTTAAATACACGATATGGGGAAACACGAAGTCGAGCAAATTTAAGTTGGTGAAACTGTTTCGAAAGCTAATTATTGTTCGTTTTATCCGTTCGTTTGCCAGTCGAGTATTTTTTAAGAGTTTTAACACAGCTACTTAGCGTCACATATGCATGACTTTTTAAAGTAAATCAATATATGTAAATTAATGTGTAATATATGATTAATAATATGTAAATTATTATATATAAATAATTGGTTGACTAAAGCTTGACTAAATAAAGTCTTGACTAAATAAACGCTTGACTAAAGAAAGTCATAAATAGTACATTGCATATC